GGTGACATTTGAGGGTCGGGTGATATTTGGGGGCGGGTGACATTTCGGGGTGTCGTCTCCAGGTGACGATCGAGGTGGACCCCGGGGCGGAGGTGGAGTTGGATCTCTCGGACTCGCGCACGGATTGGACGGACCCGGATTGGGCGGCTCATCATCGGCTCTTCTGGCCCCTCTTCTGGGAGTACAATGACGTCCCCGGAGCAGAGACCTCCACCCCGGGCCCCCAGGGGCCAGACACCGGGGGCGACTATTCCTCACAGTACGAATGGGAGGACACCCTGAGTGGGCGAGATCCCACCGGAGACAAATATCACTACGGTGAGTCCAGAATACCCCCCCCGGGACAGAGGCTCCTCCCACTGCCATGACATGACACATGGAGTCTGACTCCTCCCACTGCAAGGTGATGACATTGTTGTTGTCGGGCAGATTACGAGGAGGAGGAGTGGAGTTCCTGGTCTCCGTGTAGCTCCACCTGCGGTCGCCCCTCCCAGAAACGGACGCGCTCCTGCGGATATTCCTGCACCGCCACCGAATCCCGGGTGTGTGACCTCCCACCCTGCCCAGGTGAGCTGTGACCCCGCCCCTTACTGTGATGTCACATGGCGGTCAGGGGGCCCCTTTATAGAACTGTCATTTTCTGACTCCGCAGGGGAAGACGACACAGAAAACTCCACCCACTGGGAGAGACGACACACACAGGGCCCCCGATGCGCTCACCTATCCTCAGGGCGGAGATGTAGTTGGCGATGACCTCCCGAATCTTCGGCGCGCCGCCCCTCCTCATCAGGTGGATCAGGTTGGTGTCGGGTTCGTCTTTGGCGAGAGAGACTCTGATCTACGGGGGAGGGGGAGACGTCATCAGAAGATAAAAGCCCCCCCCCACGCTTATACTAACCCCTGGGGGAGAGGGAGGGAAGCCCTGTATAAGCTACGAATCACTACAGTTGGAGCTTACACAGCTCTGAGCTCTCCTCCCACCCCATGTGACCAGTCACTAATGCAGTCACATGACAGGAAGGGGAGGAGTCACTTTTCAGCTATAGCTCTGGGGGGGGACCAGGTTCTTTTGAGGGTTCTGAACGGGTCTGGTACCACTAATATAGCGGCGTGCACAGGCCATCTCTACATTATATGAGTAATGGAGGAGGCCGCCAACCAGGGCGGAGCCTCCACTGAGGAACGCCCCCATCCGTGTGACATCACAGCGCCCTCACCTCCACCTCGCTGGGGTCATTCTCATCCGACAGGTTCGGGATTTCCACGTGTCCTTTATAGGTCACTCCGGACTGCGACTTCCCTGCAAGCAGAAAAATGGCGTCATCCGTCACATGACCGCGGCTACAAACCCCTCCCGTCACATGA